ATAGCCTGCCATGCTGTTATTCTGTATTCTGTATCGGTCTGTGTACAATAACACACCTAAAAAGTTCTCAAAATAATTTCTTAAATACCAAAGAATGCCTGATTAAAGCACGGGTTTGACTTGCAATCTTCCCTGCAGTCCAGAATGATGGACATCTGCAAGACATGTTTTACCTACATATAAATATGAGACGATAGTCCTCTTCCACCTGATGTTTCCACTTAATCACTCTGATGCTCCAGTATGTCTCATGTGAACAGAGCACTGCTAAAAAGATGTTTTCAGACCCAGAAAGCCTTAGTGCCATAATCATGGTATAATTAGACTTGCATGGAAAGCTCTCAGCTAATGTACAGAAAAAAATCTAATATTGTGAGAAAGACAGAGGCCAGGCAGAATGTTTCTTACAAGTGGCTTTTATTTAATGTCAAGCTGTTATTAATGGAATCATCTGTGTCGATTATGGTTTAATGTTGTTACTTATCTAATTACAACATGATTACAGAATATAAGAGCTGTGACCCAAAGCTTTACTGCATTTCTAAATCAGTTAGTATACGTAACACAATTCTTCAAAAGCAGTCTTTTTCATGACTTGCCTGAAGCTCACATATACAGAAAGGATTCATGGGACAAACTGTAGTGACAGATCATCTCAGGCTTGTGCACATAAACTGTTAACCTGTTTATATGATACAGATTGCTACATAATCAATCAGGAAATGTGTTGTTTTGGCAATTTGGAGGCATGTTGGATGGGAAGTCAAGTCATTTTGTTGTTGTGTGTTGTCCAAGATTTGTTTGCCATATTGTCCTTGTTGTAACATGGGTAACATGGGGAGGGGAGCGTGTGTGAATATTCTGCTTTGATTCAACTTTTCTCAAGAGTGACAAATGAGAAGATTTAGGGAATTTGGTGTCCAGCTGTCACATCAGTCAGAAGAGCCAGACAAGAAATGGTTATAAATGATTCATTCTTCCTGGGTGTCTGCCGGACGGATGGACGGCCTGAAAAACCAAAGCAACTGAGCCATGACTCCCCCACCACTACCACCCCACGTCAAAGTGTGTGTGTGTGTGTGTGTGTGTGGGTGGACGGGTGGGTGGCAGTGCCGCACATTCTGCTCATCCATCTGGTTCACTCAGGGAATGACAGTCCGACATTTACATTGGAAAGCAAGGGGAAAATGTTTACAGACTCGATTTGAATTGCTTTCTGCCCTATTCACAATCCTGCTCACATCTCACGTTTTGTGTTTTTACAAAGCTGAGCAAAGCAAATATTTCACTCACTCACATCACAACAAACAAAAACTCTTTCCACTTTGATATGAGCGAGGAGCAGTGGTCTCTGTACCGTAGGCAAATTTCCAAACCTGTTTCTCCCTCCTGAGGCCCACCGCATTATGTATATTTCCGCTTGATGTAAATAAAAGCTAGCTGAAGAGCTTTTAATGCATTATTCAAGGTTATACTACGAATTAACTTGGTTACAATGAAATGGTCCCTTTTAAGTTCTGCATCAGCACAGTAACATCGCTTCTGGAAAACATAAAAAGGAATATAAAGATGACTTGTAGCATGAATATGATCAAATTGCTTTTGATTCACTTCACGTTTGTTGTTGAAAAAGAACTAACTGAAAAAAGAGGCAACATCCTTGGAAAAGATTTTCAGCATAATTGTGCAGTCCAGCCTGGGGCAACACAAATCTCATCTTGTATTACTGTTTCATTTCTTGTCTATTTTGCACCTGCCAGGTGAAACTTTTGTTCAAGATATGATAATGATGAAATTTTTATTATAGTGTCTTGCATACAGATTTGTTCTGCCTGCATGGGCTTACAAGACAAGAAATTAATGTAAAATAGATGCAGAATGCAGTACATAAAACAATACAAGTTTCACATAAGTTCACTAAGTCCACTGCAATAATTATATGTTGTAGTTTTTACACAATCATGTACAGCATATATAGTATAATCGTTACATACAAGAAAAATTAAGATCGGAAATCAAAAAATAGTCCTGACTTTTTGAGACAAAGGTAGCTAACAAATCCGTGTATGGTTCCTTCTTTCATTATTTCGTTTCAAAACCAAATCGGAAAAACCAAAAAACAACTTGGTTTTTAAACCAAAACAGAAAAACACAATACAAAAAAACAATTGAAAAATATTGATTTTGATTTTTAATGTGTCCGATTAGTGTAGCTCTGTGTGTTACACTTAATAAACCTGCAGCAGATACACTTGGGCGAGGGCGGTGCCTGATTAAATGTAATTAAGATGAGCTTGAACATCAACATAGGTGGGTTTTTAGTTAGAAAAACAGGAGGCTCACCGTTCAGTTTTTTAACTCACTAGCTACTGGGACAGGAACAGAAACGCCACAGAAGTTTCCCAACTGTGCTTTCAGACCAAACGCGAATTTTCGCCTCGCGACGCTTTCCTCGCGTGAGTACATTCGCTGCAAGTGTTCACACACAACGCAAGAAGGCGATTTTACAGGATAAACACAACTTGCCATTACTACAGCTGTATGAACCCAAAGTAAACATTTTGTTGTGATTAAATAGCAATAAACGGATCAAACTGATGCCGAAATAACTACAATATGATGCAGTTTTGTTAAACATATGAATTCATGCTTTGTCAGGTCTGTCAGCAAGACAGCAGGACAACAACTTCTAAAATGTTTGTTTTCTGAATGGAGTTCGGATCAGTAAAGTACAACGATAACAACGAATAAAGTTACATACACGTGTTTTCTGAACTCACCAGGTAGTTAAACCTGCTCGCTTTCTTTTCTCCCAGCAATGTCCAGTTTTCCCCGGTTTTTATATTAATATGACGTAGTGCCAAATGACGCTAACAACACTGGAACTGGATGTACACGGAATCTAGCTGCTGAGAAGCTCGAGTGAAGATAAATCAACGTTGTAATCCTACAAACTAAAGTAAAAAGCTAATTTAATAAAAGCAGTTTACTCCGAGCTCCTCCCTCGAGCAAGTCCAGTCCGACCACGGGTGTCTATTTGTCTGAAGCTAGAGCGCTGCTCCCGTGTCCGCGTGGGTTCTCTCCGGGTGCTCCGGCTTCCTCCCACCATCCAGAGACATGCGGACTAGGTTGATTGTTGACCCTAAATTGTCCTTAGGTGTGATTGTGAGCGTGAGTGGTTGTTCGTCTATGTGTGGCCCTGCGATGGACTGGTGACCTGTCCAGGGTGTACCCCGCCTTGCGCCCGATGCCAGCTGGGATTGGCTCCAGCCCCCCTGCGACCCTGTACGCAGGATAAGCGGTTGATGATGGATGGATGGATGGATATTATTCATGTTCAATAAGCTGATAAATCTAGTCATGCAAACGCCCTCCTGTTAATGTCCCGATAACTGTTCAGTGAACACATATATTTCAGTTTCACGGGAACACGTCTGCTTGTTGCTACGCCTGTCGCAATGCCTCCCTTCGTACACGCTCGCCTTTCATTGAAAATGAATTACGAGCATATACAGTCTATGATTACGAGGCGCGGAAATTGCTTCCCGTGTGAAAAGGCCTTAAGAATCCTCTGGATTTTAAGATTTCTTCAGTATCAAATTAATTCAGTGATAGTTGTGAGTACATCCAATGGTAGGCCCTACACAGCAAACATGAACTGTTATTAGTTAAATCAGCGAGCTGTATATTAACGAATCATACACGGATTAAAAGGTCCGGGTAATTTTCGTTCAGCTTCTCTACACTGTTTCCTCCTGACCTTTATTTTATTTTCAGCATCCAGCTGCAGTAGGTAAATGGATTAGGCTATGCTAAAACAGGAGCATCGAACTTCATCCTGCTAGGGGGAACTACCACTGACTGTCCAGTGCGCCGGTTCCACTGGCAATATAAGGCATATTAGGTCTACAGGTTAGGAAGTGGGGCGCTGGAGTGTACAGGGCGAGAGAGAGGAGGTCGCGGGAGCGACCTGGTGTACTGCGGACGGTCAGTGATCATTCTCTCTGGTTGGATGGAGCCTGACGCAGACCACAGCTGTTGCAAACAACAGGCGCAGGTGTATAGCAGCCAGTTAGTTTGAAAAACCAGTAGGGATAGCCTACAACACTGGTAATAGATAGAAAAAAAGGCAGCTGCTTTGCTTTTTTCCATTTTGGTTTTAAAACAGAAAAAAACAAAAAACGACTTGTTTTTTTGGTTCTTCTGATTTGGTTTCTAATGGAAACATCAAAATTAAACCCCACAATTAGACAACTGACAAGTCAAGGTCAATTAGTATTTAAAAAAAACTATGTCCAATTTCAGTATACTAATTTCATGTCAATGCTGGCCTATTTTTCTGTGACCAATTTCTTGAGCTCAGCTTTTGCAATTATTTCCAAGGACCCATGTACACTTTACTAAGCTGGCTTTTTTAATGTCCATCGTTTTTGGAGAAATTCCACAGTGCTACATTTTTCACAGGACAAGAAAATCTAACTGGCTGGAAAACAAGAAAGCACACAAACAGTTATTTGCTTTTGACAGCTGACGACCAGGAACGCTGTGGCCAACTTTTCTTGGCCAAGACCCTTGTTGACTGTCCACACATTGGCTGTGTTTCCTTGTTTGCTTATCTCATAGAAAATACATGTACTTCCAATTGATTATTACCACTTTGCTCACAGTGTGGTTGTGTAATTAGTGTTGAAAATCACAGGAAAATAAATTCTCCTAAAGTAAGAAGTCTTTCAAGACTGCGAAAAAGTGGTAATTCCCTGCATCCTATCAGAACTTAATATTGCAGATAGATGTTCTGGATAACTTCTGACAGCTGAAGGGAGGTAAAGTGCTCTAATAGAGATAGCCAAATCACACTTTGGATTGTGGCCAATGTACAGCAGTAGTTCAATAATTATGCAGTAAAATGAGGGACTTCCACAGGGGCTACATCTGTATTGTCACAACCCTTACCGAGTTAAATCAGTGGCTGGGTTTTGTTTTCTATCATGTTTCAACAGGGGTGGAGCTGCTCGCTTTGTACAACCACCCGCCAGTCCGAGAGGGCCAGGTGAAGTACTACACTGTCAAGGTGCCGCTGCGTGTTCAAAATTGTGATGAGGGGGTCAAAGGTGTGGAGGCCAACTGGCTGGATCACATGACCCAACACTTCAACAATGGAGCCTCACTGGTCGATGGATACTTCCACCTGGGCAATGTGAACGGTAAGCTGGCATGACTCGCTGTTAGTGCAGATCACAGAGTTTTCCCAGGAAAAAGATGTAGGACATTATATGTATACAGTATGTGTATATGCGTTTGTATATACATGTCTCCTTAGGAATAAACCAATTTTAACTTCCACACTTGCTGTTTTTTTAGATTACATCTCACACACAATTTAAAAACATTAGAACAAGAGGTGAGCAGTGCACAAACAATGAAAATAACACATCCTTCACCTTTGCTTCTTAGATTCTTCATAATTGTTCTTCTGCAGTCACTCTCAAAGCTCAGACTATTACAGTTATTAAAACTGATAAAGGTTCCCAAATTGCCTTTTTTTCTCCTTCCCAGTATTACCACTTAAACTGTCAACATCAAGCAGATGACAAATTCAAGTCGACCTATTTAAAATAAAAAGCCTGGGCCAGGTAACAATGCTCCTTGGCCTGCGTGACATTAATTATGCATTAGCTGGCATTCATTTTCCACTATTTTCCACGATCAGAACATATGACTGCTAATACTTTCTCTGTCAGTGTCAGGAAGTGGTGCAATCCTACAGGATTTTGTAACGCAAACGTACACTGGATGATTGAGAAGCTTTGACTGTCATATGTTTTTTTTTACTTCGAATGAAATGACTACCTGTAATGTGAAAGTTTTCACTCCCAGTGCCAGAACAACAGACAACCAACACCAACTCTTAAGCTTTACTCAGGCTTGAAACTACGGTATTTAATCAAATTTTTTTGATCCTCATATAAAACTCTAGGCAGCTATTTCCAACAAGTGTACACTTGCTGCCAAACATTAAACGGTAGAATGTACTGTGTGAAAGTATGTGAATGAATGGTCGAGCACCAAGCACCTTACAGCTCAGACACTTTTCTCAGGAATTTGTGGATCAAAGTAAAGCTATAAATGAAGTGGATATTGGACTTAATTCATCAGGTGGCCAGAAACCTTACTAATGCGATGCTCATATTAATCTTTTTTTTTGCCGTAGCAAAAATAATGAGCTGATGATATATATATATCAAAGCTATCTTTGTAAGAGTTTGTTTTATTCCCTTAGTAAATTTCCTGTAGGGCCACCAGCAGGTCAAAGTTTTCACTTATCCCAATAGACACAATAGACCCATAGGCACAAAACATTGTTTCCTCCAGCGGCACTATGAGATTGACATTTGGGGTTTTGAATGAAATGTCTTAACAACTCTAGGACATATCACCGTGAAATTTGGTAATGGCATTTATACTTTGGTTTGTGACCATACCTGCTAACGCTAGCGCCCATGCAATTTAGCATCCTCGTTAGCCCGTCTGCCTCCCGTAACCAAGATCGTAACTTCAAGTCCGGACTATAATACAATACAATAATGCAGTTGTAATGCATATATAATGCAATACAACTTGGGGCCGGTTACATTGGTGCCCTGACACGGATGGGATGCCTCCCCGATGCCTTAAGAGATGCGCTAGGGACCAACATTAGTGCTCATGCTTTTTAGCCTCCTTGTTAGCGGGTCCACCTAACGAGGAGTTTGGTATTTGCACCCATAAGAATGCATTGTTTCATTGCAGTTGCTATAAGTTTGTATGAAGCCTAACTTAGTTAATCAGAGGCCAGTTTGACTACTGGGAATACAGTCCTGATGTAGTTCCCCTTCGAAGGAACTCGAATTGCGTTGGTGTTCATGGAGGATGACTTCTGGGAGCCAGGCCGACGTCATCAGACCGCGCCCAGCTATGAGAGGCGGGGCAGGAGCCGCAGGCCGGCAGTAACCTCTATGAGCTTTTCTGCAGCCCGAGCACCACCCCCGCATTCTCTCCTGATTTGCACAATGAGTTATGTAAAACATGGAACAGACCAAAAAAAAAAATAGTCGAGCTGGTGCAAGCCTGCACACTATGGCCATCTTGCAGGCGTACCAGGCCGATCTTCTCAAGACTATGACCTAGGGGGAGGTCCCTCTGAGGAGGACCTGACTGAGCTCCGTGTTACTAAGCATTGGCTGCTCCATGGCAGCATTGGTGGCTATGGAGCGCCATCTGTGGCTCAACCTCTCGGGCATCCAGGGGAAGGAGAAGGCTTTTCTCCTGGATGTGCCCCTCTCTCCTACTGGCCTGTTTGTTGAGGCGGTGGATGCTGTCATCAGCAGGTTTCAGCACGCTGAAACGCAGAGAGAGGCGTTTGAGCAATATCTCCCCCGCCGGTCTGGGTCCAGGACGGCAACGGCTGAAGAGAGTCAAGCTCAGCCCTCGTCTAGCTCCTACCGCCGGAGCCAGAAGCGAAGCGTCGCTTCCCGTAGTCCCCCTCAAAAAACCCGGGACGCCCACAGCCCCCCCGAGAGGCTGACCGAGGCCCCCTCCCTTGTGGCGGCTCAGGCAACAGGCGCTGTTTTCCCGCCGTCTTGGCGCCAAGTGTTGGGACAAGAAGTTCGCTCTCTGCTGGAAATTGGGGCCAGAGAGCTTATTTCACCGCCAGTCAGGGAGTCCGGGTTCTACAGCCGGTAATTCATAGTTCCCAAGAAGGACGGATAGGTTGCGTCCGATTTTGGATCTGCGGTCCCTTAACCAATCTCTGAGGAGATTCAGGTTCAGGATGCTCACCATCCCCGCCATCAGTCAAATCCAATCCGAGGATTGGTTTGTCACAACAGATCTACAAGACGCATATTTCCACATCTCCATCCGTCCCTCTCACAGGAAGTTCCTGAGGTTTGCCTTCGGGGGCGCAGCGTACCAGTATCGGGTTCTTCCGTTCGGCCTAGCACTCTCTCCTCGCACGTTCACCAAATGCATGGATGCAGCTCTGGCCCCACTGAGGCTCTAGGGCATCCGCATATTTAACTACATCGACGACTGGCTCATCTTGGCTCAGTCTCGGGAGTTAGCGGTTCGGCATCGAGATGTCGTCCTCGCCCACCTTCAGCGTTTGGGGCTGCGGCTCAACGCGAAGAAGAGCGTGCTGACGCCCGCCCAACGGACTACGTTCCTAGGGGTGGTGTGGGACTCGACGATGTGGGCCCACCTGTCCTCGGTGACCAGAGTGAAGCTAGGCCACACCATCACTGTGAAACACTTCAGAGGGTGTTGGGTCTCATGGCGGCAGCGTCCAGCGTAATCCCTTCTGGCCTGCTGCACAGGAGAGCCCTGCAGTGGTGGTTAAAATCCAAGGAATTCTCCCCGAGGGGAAATCCGTTCCCTCTGATACGGGTTACGAGCAGGTGCCTTCGTTCCCTGTCAGTATGGAGGAAGCCTTGGTTCCTTCCCAGGGTCCCGTGTTGGGAGCGTCATGTCGCCGGACAATTATTTCGACAGACGCCTCACTCGTGGGGCGTGACCTTAATTGAAGTTCCCCGAGAAGGGGAATGAGGCAGTGCGTCGGACCGCCACACCTCACCCCGCCTGGAGTGCCTGCTGAATAGCAAAAGGGCTAATGTGTCCAGTATGCTGGCGTGCTTATATACGCCTCCAGTTACGCCGTCACACGCTACCGTTCTAGCAACACCAATAGGATTGGAGTAGTTTCATTCATGTTTCAGCCCCGACGCAGTGTCTCGTTCCCCTTCTCGGGGAACAAGGGTTACATACGTAACCTGAGACGTTTTCTATCCAGGTTTGTTTCTTGTCACCCGGGGCTGAGTAAGCTCCAAATTCCCAATCAGACGCTGCACCGCTCCATCATTCCCCTGTTCTGAGTTTTAAAGAGGTCATATTATACTTTTTGGCTTTTTCCCTCTCTTTTATTTAGTTATATAGCTTTTTTGCGCATGTAATAGGTTTGCAAAGTGAAAAAGCCCAAAGTCCACCCCAAAGGGAGTTCCCATCTCCCACAGAAAATTCTGCTCTGGACTGCATTAAAACAGCTCGTTTGTAGTCCAGCCTTCCCTTTGATCCCTGTGACAATATTCCAAAATACATGTCATAATGCTCGCCTAGCGGCTAGTCTCACACGCCCTCAAAAACACCGGTGGAAAAACACACTAAGCTGCAGCACACAGTGACAAGACTGCCTGCTGCCTCTCCTCTCCCTTCCAAACACTAGCTACCCTCCAGGCAGTCAATGGACATAAAGATGTTACTGTGATGTAGAGACAGAGCTCAAGTTATAACTTTATGGATGAAAGATACATTTGTTACAGCTTAATAACTCACCACTCTGAAACTCTTGCTCCAGTCCATGTTGCTAAGCTAAGGGGAACACGTACAGCCGAACCAAAGCCGTGTTTACCGGCTTTTCACGACCCGCCCTACTCTGCTTCTGATAGGTTAGTAATCCTTAACTAGGAACTGCACATGTGCAACTCCCAACAAAAATCTTGTAGAAGTGGGTTGCATCATTCCATAGCTAAAACACATGGTGAAAAGAGGAGCTGCAGCAATGTGCAGACAAAAAAATCTGGTGTTTTATGAAAATGAAAAAAAAATGTAAACCTGTTCTGGTACAACCCCTAAATTGGATTTTGAACCTCAAAATGAGTGTAATATGACCTCTTTCAGGAAAATTGAGACATGGCTCTGGTGTTTTACAAATGACAGAAAGATGGAGTCTGTTTCCATCTGTGTGGGTGATTATGAGTATTTCTTTATGGAGCATTGTTTAGAAGCTAAAGTTCATGGAGCTGTTTGGTATCCTCTTTTAAACTATTTCCTGTTTGGGTTTTCCTCTTCCATCAGACCCCAGCGGCTCTGTGCTTTGCTCTGACACTGGAGGAATAAGCCAGCCAGAGTAAATAATAGTCATAATTCATTAATTGTGGAAAATGAACGCCTCAGCAGCTCTGAAACCTAGATAATTAACCTGATAACAAATTAGTGCCTCCTTGCATATTTTATGTCCTGAGAATGGAGTAATGAAGTGTATTATTATGATTCAATTTTTTTCTGCCTATTAGGGTCTTACATATTTTGCATTTTTCATGGGCTACTAAGATATGCGTCTCTTGAACAGTGAAATTACTTGTTAGGATAGAAAGCAGATCAGCTGCATTAG